ATACCGGCAATACTAAAACTAATTACCTAACGTCCCGTGATCATTTAGCCGTTACTTTTCTTAAAAAATTAGGAGGGGAACTATAAACTTTAAAATGTAACCGTTATTGTTGAATTGGTCTAAAGAGCTCGAAGAACGGAAATTGAAAAAGTCCACTGCATAATCTATATGTAATACGAATGACTTCCCCCTTATGAAGAGTGTAAAAACTCGATTGGATTCTTAAATAAACGAAGAAGGGAACTTAACATCTAAAAATTACGCAGGGAAGGAAGTTTAAACTGATGAATAGACCACCAGTTCCCAACAGCAGGAAGCCGATTAAAAGAGTCCTTTGCCCAATTCTTGTTTCACTGAATGGCAGATTTGTTGGCAAGTGTTTTTTTTTTTTTTTTGCCGGTGTGGATTCTAACTGTCAAAATCTATTAAATGAAAGCTATTTTTCACTTTAGTGCTGGTAAATAGAAGGCAGTATACAATTATGAACCAGCAAATGAACGGAACAATCATTTTGAATACTACTCCATAAACTGGTGAGAATCAAAACGAGTCATGAAATTACCCAAAGAAGTTGTGCTACATTCGATAAAATATCTGCTGCGTCCCTGAAATTTAATCCTGAAGTAGAGAAACAAATAGTTATTAAAAGTGTCTTTGCTCTGAGATATTTACTAGAAAGTGATAAAAATATAGCGCACGTATTTGTCGACGAAAAATTTCCCTCACCCCTCTCTAGCAAAACAGTCGCCAGAAAAATTGCGTCGTGAACCAAATTGGACAGCACAATACCACCGACTTATTTAACTGCATAAACATTACTAAACAATTCTCATATTTGCTGAAAACTTTACAGAGATTTCACTAAGTGAGTGAGGGAGACGAAAAGAATAATAACCAGCGCGACTTTTACAGAACAACACTTAAAGGTGCAGCTTTCTCGTTCTGTAAAACGACCAAAGCACACACAGGAGGAATAGTTAGTATAGTGCAGTTATTTGAAGGTTCCAGATCTGCTAGGAAACGTCAGCCCCCTCACCCGAATTCAGACTAGGCTACGTTCGTTAGCGCTCTCAGATAAACAGCTTGGGAAAAAGTCGACGAGGGTATAATACTGCAATTTTACTTCCGAAATACTATTTGTCTCCTAAATGTCGAGACATGTTTCGCGAGAGGCAGTGGTTGCTTTTATCGTTATGGAATCCTTCTTGATGGCGCATAAAACAAAGCGCGAAGCTTATGAAATTTGTTGTTCGGACGAGCCAAAAAAAAAAAAAAAACTCGTCATACTTGTATGTATATCTGTAGATCTCTAGCTTTCTTCACTTGCAATGTCTTCTGAATGTTCTTCAAGCTAAGACGTCAGTTACCCTCCATATGGAGGTTAGAAGAGACCATCACAGAAATCTACCATTACTTCAATCAGACAACAACATCTAATAACGAATGAACACCGAGTAAACATACTGACTTCGTTTTCTACTTAGTTTTCGCTCCCTATAGTCCCCATTTCGTTTTAATTGCAACGTTTCAATTTATTGTGATTAAATGTAAGAAAAATGTCGCATTTATAATAATGGTAAGAGGACAAGTAAACTTGTATTTTATCTTTCAAGTAAAATTTCGACAAACAGGCATAAAAATAAATCGGTCCCACGCAAGAAAAAGAAAAAAACAGACCGAAAGAAGATAAAAAAAAAAAAAACATCATGAAAGGACAGGTTCTTAACCTTCGTGTTTGAAAGCTGCTTGAATATCAAATCAGTGAAATTGTCTCTACTGATGGTAGTGATTAAAACGACAGGTAAGGTATAAAGGAAATTTAATTTAACAGCTGAATACAAGATTAACTAGAAATACACAGCACTGACATGAGTAGGATCTGCAGTGTTTTTCAAAAGTAAACGGTGACAGTGAAAGGAGCGCTGAAATGGACCACCTGTTTAGGAATCGAAAGCTGTCAGGGGAGACTATTTTTCTGATGATCTTTTCTGGCGGACAAGTTAATTTGGTCGGTGTTGTAGGGTAGTGACTTCAGAGTAAGGCACAATAGGACTCCGCGTAGAGCACCATTGAAACAACAAAGTTTGATGAGTCTACGCAGTCCTCAAAACCATAGAGTAAAAAACATATTAGAACTTTTTTCTATAACTACAATGAATTCGTAAAGAAGTTTTAGGTTATTAAACGATGTTCTGTAAAACATTTTCGGCCTAAGTTTACTATTTGATTAACTTTAACAGTTCCCTTTGAATTGAAAGATTATTCTCCAATAAGTGCTCTCACAAAAGTGGCTTGGAATTTGTTTTAGAAGGCACGCCAGTGAGAGCTATTTCCAATCTAATATTTATGAAAACGTTCTTCGTGTGTTACAACAATAAAGACAGGTCGAAGTGTGGCATGAAAGAACGACAGCAATTGTTTTTTATATGAACACAAAATTGCTTTTGAGAAATGGCTCTTAATAGCACAGTTCAGATAGAAAGCATAATATCTAAAAGGCATCGAATTCAAATGGACAAATTAAAAGATGGCGTCGTTTAGAGGGGGAACCTCATCAATCCACGCAAAGCCCATCTACAAGTCTGACAACAAAGGTGTGACTTCCATTGCTTTCGATTCGGAAACAAATCGACTTGAAGGTTACGAAGGCTTCTACTCTTTTGATGCCTTCTGTAAGTTACTATAATCTTAGAAATGATAAAAACCAATTTCTACTTTCTATCGTGATCTTTCAGCCTAACAACAAATATGTGAAGTTGAGCCGAACACTGGAATATCTGAAACACTCTATGAACGCCGTCGCAGACGAGATAGGTCTCGGACAATAGTATGTTGTTAATAACATAAAAATCCTGACACAGATTGCGCTAAGAAACGACATTAGTCAGCTTAAAAGAAGGTTGTATTGAAGCGTGATGAGTGAATCTAGCCTGAATTATGTTGTAAGACTTTTTACGAATCAGAAAAATCCTTTTTGATGAAATATATACAAATGCATGGGGACTTTTCTCGTTAGAATTGTGGGGAGGTGTCATGGCCATCATAAATATCCGTTTAGCGGAATGATAGTATTCGTGGTGTAAAAACTACAACTCGTGCGTAACTAAGGTATTCCTGGCGCATTTAATTCTTTTTGTTCTCGAAGGTGGAAAGGGATAGTTTCCAAAAAGGCGCTACAACGGCTGAAGAACCACGCTAACATTGTCATACTAAGAATAAATTTCTGAAGAAAAATTCCACACCTTTTGAGATATGGAAAGGCGTGTTTCTTTCCTACAGCACCGTAGGAAAGTAATTGAACAACTGTTAGCTCATACAAGCAGGTGCGGTGTCATCCGGACAAATACGAACGCAGTACTTTCACTTGCCTTGAATTCAAACTCGTTCCTTTTCCGTTCAAAACAGTCACTTCGTCCTCCAGAAAAGGACAGCGGTCGTGCTTAAGTCCAATCATTATTGCGGTCGGGCATATTTAGCAGCTTGTTCCGTGATTTTAGCCCTGTCGAAGAAATTATGTAAAGCAAACGAAACTCGATCGTACGGAACGAGCGCGCGGTTTGTGAATATGTCAAACGCCTTTTCCCCGATACGCCACTGAATGTTAATAAGAACCTCAAGCCATCGAATTCGATTGACATACAAATATTTAGTAACTGTGTGGTCATTTAATATCTTAAAAGCAAAAGAAAACGGCAACATCAAAAAGAAAAATTTCAAATTTGTTCAAAAGAAAACAGCGACTAAAATGGATTTCCAATAATGGTCGGTTTCACTAGTGAAAACTTCTAGTTCTGACCGTCTTGAATAACGACAAAATAGACAATTGTTTTTGAGTCGAAGGAAAAACTGTCATCGTTCTCTCCCCTGGCGTTACGACAGGCGCCGAAAGATGCGTTAAAGTCGTTTTTTTCAATCTACGTTAGTGGCACCGAAAAAACCGCCTAAAGCAAGAAGTCTGTGGCTAACTAGCCAAAGATTACCACACATTCATTGAAAAAAAAAAAACAACAACAACAACAAAAGCTGCAACAAAGAGCACGAAAATAATTGGGAAATTAGCCAAAACAGGGGTTAAATAGTACAACGAAAGGCATAAAAGCTCCCGAAATTGTCTAAATGTCAGGTATCTACTTAGAGGAAGACTTGGTTACCGCTCCCTTAAGTAAGACACGGGTTCGTGCCGACAACATCAGACAATTTTTAAAATTAATTGTTATGTTTCACAGACACTGCATGATTTTATTTCATTATCAATCTTTTAACTCGAAAGATAATTTTCTATTCGAGATTGTAAGTGACCGCAATAACAACGTTGAAAAGAACAAGTGAAAGATAACTGGAACGCCACGGAGATCTCGGACGAAAATTACGACGCATTAACATCTAAGACAAGATTTTTGGGAGCATTCCTTGAAGACAGATATAAATTAACATCATTCGCAGGAAAGCCACCGCCTCTTGAAGAAGAATTGCAAATGCCACGACACCGGGAAGAAAACTATGTGGACTCATGATTAGGCGTGGGACAAAGGGATTCCGATTTTAAACAAAATTTCAAAGCATAGTGCGAAATTTTTATACATATGCTTAGAGGTTCTCTCCAAGCAAAAGCCGGTACAATGTTCAGAAAAAAGCAATAAAACCAAAGCAATTCTTTTAACGACGGAGTATGCTTCGATCAAGTTTCATATTACTCATGGAGGTTTAGAATGTGGAGACTTGGTAGAAACCAGATTTTACTTTCATCTCGGCACCTGAATTGGAATCTTAATTGGCTAAGATAGATTGCATTAAAATGTAGACCAATAGACTAAGTTTAGGAAAGCCGTTTTCCACGTGCAGAAGAGAACTCTCGAGATTCAAGAGTCTTACAAAGAGACACAAAGAGCTTTGGATAACAACCACGAAAGAACTAGAAAGAGAGGAACTCTTTAAGAGAGAGCGTCTCCTACCTTAAGCTGTTTTGGTGGGTGGGCGATAAATTGTCCCTGTGAATGGTTCGTCTTCGGAAGCGCACTTTGCTGAAAACGTGAATTGTCTTCTTCAGAGTTCGTGCTCCTGTAAAGAAAATGGAAAAATCGCGCCGGTAAGATAAGCATCTGATTTAAATATTACCTATGACATGTGCCATATTTGGCTCATTACGAAAACCTCCTAAAAAATTGCGTGCGATGGAAAAATTTTCAATGTTTCATGCAGAAGTTTTGTTGGAGAGTCATCCGACTTTTTCTGCCTTATCTTCTTTTGGTTTGCTTTTGTCTTTTTTTAACGAGATACTGTGACTTACAGTTTCAACAAAAAGATGTCTAAACGCCAGAAGAGTGTTCGTGCTCCGAGTTCATTTGCAGCTCTCAAAATGCGGTTAAAATGGCTCCAAGATGTCTAAGTCAATATAGCTGGTCAAATTAGCAGCTGACAAAGCAGCAGCAGCATTAAGACTTTTAAGCGAAACAAAAGACTGCTTCCTCAAACAATCGAGACTAGACACATTTGGTTAGTTCCTGTCACACAGAAAAATCAACTTTCTCTTTAAAACTTATGGGATGTGTGTTTTTCTTTTGTGTTTCAACAAGGGACAACTTGAAATTTCAAGAAGGCTGCCAAAGAAACTGATTGCCGTGAAGCAAAAAGACGGTCGCGACGAGTCCAAGACGCCTAAGCTGTTGCTAAAAGGACCTGATTTGCGTTTATTTCAAAACTACAAATTTGAACCATGTGTGTTGAAAGATACGTTTGAAGTTTACCAAACGAAGCAGTGAACAGGAAATTTTCCGTAAACTGCAAACACAGTTTACAGAACCAAGATGTAAAGACCACGCGGTCTTTTGTTGCGTACCTTTTGTCCGAAAACACAAAAACAATAGCGCGCCGCAAACTAAAACTACACGCTTCTTTCACGTTTTCGATTACTCTTTAATTTTGTTATGAAAACAAAATGCACGCGTCTTGTCGCGAATAAATATCTCATTCACCCGGGACAAAGCAAAATTTACACTTTTTAAAGCTCGTTATTTTGCTCAATTAGCTGGCTAATTTCGCTGCAATCGCATAAGGAAGTCTATGGTGAATATTTTCCTAATCATGTCTGTGAATTTGCGCTGATTTTACCGACCGAAGACATACTCCGTGAAAAGTGATGAAGAGTGCTGTCATGTTTGTAGGTAGTTCTAAAAATGAGAACTCTACAGCTGATGTCAACAGAGATTAATTCGTTGTTCCTTTGATAAAGCGCTGTGAACTGCAAAGATAAACTTTCCGATTTACTTTACAAGCCCAGCTTCAAATGGCTTCCTACAAGCGTATTACGTTTCGTTAATATATGTGTCAGTAAAGCCATTGTTATTTTCTTCCCCTGTAAAATCCTAAGTGGGCAAGTGTGGGGAATAAGTATACACTGTAATTTCTTGCTATGAAAACAAAAAAATAAAACAGTGATCTTGTGTTGATCGAGAAAGGCTTTGAAATCCCCTTCGCTTGGCCATACGGATCTCGACGTTTGCACAAAGTAAGTTTATTACTCGGACATTTTCATTTTCCGAACACAATACATAGACGCTTCAGAATAATCAATGCAGGCATTAAAAGGGACAACTGAGTACATACCGTAGTTCGCTGTGTTTCCATTTGGTTCACAGCGGTACACTTTGTATTGTTTGTCTGAAGTATGTTATGGGAAACAGATAAAAAATAGTGTATTCAGAATGAATTGAATGCATTTGCAACACAACTTCATTTGTATAGTTCTAGCACTGAGTTCCACAAGGAGTTTGCAATGTAGCAAAACAGAGTAAAAATAGGGTGACTGAGAAAGTACCAAAGTGTGTGAACTGAGTATTATAGCCAGAGGTTCGTGATAGCCATCATTATTTGCCAACACCACGGATAATGGGCGCCGAAAGAACAGCAAAGATTCCTTCGATGTAGCCTATTTTTAAAACTGAGCAATCAGTCTATCCTTTCAGAACAACACCAAAAAGTTTGTTGTCTCTTGGAAACAAAAAATTAACCACTGATGAACGTGTTAGAAAAGAGTAGTGTAAAAGAGGAAGAAAGTAAACACACCAATTGAATATAGCGATTGAAAATAGTAAATTGCACAAGCTGGTGTGATCCATCGTACAATAAACGGTTTCTCCACTGAACAAAGAGATTAAGACAAATATTCAAAAACTAGCCTCATTTGCCTAAGCAATGACGTTGAGCTTAACCACGGAAAATAAGCCGATTTAAACAAAAATTACGAGCTACACAGATCCATTCATTTTAATCCGCAGAGACCGATTGAGAGGGCAAACAAATGATCAACAAAGATTTTCGTTACACAAACCGTGGTGTCTTTGTGTTTCATATGAATTTATTCTTTGTAAAGGGTTCAAGGTTTCGAATCCACGATGCGTAGGCTGGAGGTGTTCAAATAAGATTAAAAGTTACTTTGGAAATGAGATTCCCTATCGTCGTCATAATGCCACACAAAAATGGTGAAAAACGGCAATTACGATAAAGCAATTTCACGAAGAAAAGGTTTTTGCTTCTCGTTTCGCGAGTATTTCCAACACTTAATTCAAATGACAAAGCTTTCCTCCCATTTAAGTAACAGAGGGATTAGTGAATCGTCCGTCTTGCAGATTTGTGACGTTGTTTACTCGCAAAATGTGGAAGCTCGTATGGAGCCAACCGGCCTTTAACGAATGAATTTGGTCCGGAGATGAAAAAAGGGCAGTCCCCTTTAAATGAGCGAGGCCGATTGTCGACATCAAGTTAGAAAAGGTACTATTTCAGATAATAGTATCACAGAATGTCATTCGTGATGAAGCTTCAAGAAGAGAGGTGCTAGAAACACGTGTTTTTAAAAATGAACAGCGAGGAAATTTATGTGAACAAACAAACTGAGCGAGTAGGCGATCAGAAGCCGGCTAGAATTTCCTCTCAAACCATTAAGTAAAGGACCAAAACAATGCCTTTCCACGTTAGCGCAAAATCAATGTTTAATGAGAGCATTTCTTAGTACGCGTAGAAATGAAGGATTATGTAACAAATGCAAGGTTTATCTAAATAAGATATTTTATTTTCAGTTTACCATGAAATTGAAAATCGGATGCTAGACCTTCTCAGGTGCAGAAAACTTGAGTGTTTGTTTTAACATATACTGTTAACCGACTTGAATGTACAGCCGTTTTTACCTTCCCCTTTTTTCTTGTTTTTCTCAGGCAGTGTGAACTAATTTGTAGTCTTCAAATATTTTTCGCTGGTGAGTATCACTACCTGACAGAGTTTCACTTGCTAGGAATCACGTCGCAAAGTGCAGGTAATTCAGAGAAGACCAGTAAACTTTCAATTCATGGCAAATAGGAAAGTCTATTTGGTGCAAATTTAGCTACTCTTATAGAGTATTTCCAATGATAGCTCGGTGTCATTCGAAGCCTAGAACGCAATCTTACGGCTTCGCATGTTCAGGGCCGGTAAGTGTGGCTGCAAAGCGATGCGATTATCAGGTTTGCGTGATTTTGGCAATTCGTAGTAAACTACCAAGCTGTTCAACAACAAACGCTTCAACAGCTTACAGCTGTGAACAACTGTATATCTAGTTGGCTGGACTTTTCATAATAACCTTGGAGAAGAAAGAGGGTCATCCTTGACAATATTCAGCGATTTTTAAATATTGCGCTCTATTTAGAACTGGTCTATCGAGAAGGATATTTCGTCGGTTCAGTTCAGGAAAGCGGTGTAAATATTAAAGGCATGGAAAGCCGCCACCATCTGACGCAAGAAGCTACTTCCAGTTGCAGAACTGGCCACAAATTTGTTTTCGTGAAAGTTTGCTGAAAAGTGGGCTCATCCTCTGTGTAAAAACCTGTGAAGTTCACGAGTGACGTAAAACAAAGACAACAAAACATTATAAACAATAGCGTACAGCAAAACAATACCTCATGAAACAAAGAAAACCTCGTCAGGTTTTTACACCGAGGATGACCCGAAAGTGGGCGACCAGTAATAAAGTTGATTGTCTTGCAAGCTCATTAAAACGAAGAAACAAAGAATTGACCCTAATACAATGCAAATAGAAAAAATGCCTTTTTTTCTCATTTGAACAATGAAGGCCGTATCATGACAGAGGCTCTTCCGTTAACGTGGTGTAAACTTCTGCACCATGCAAACTGTTTATTGGACCTTGAAGTTTCAATTGAGAGGAAGGTTCCCTTGTATAATAATTTCAAATTTCGTATTTTTGAGTGCTCGTTAATAAATCATCAAGATACATCAGAGGAGCATTTGACGAATTCGTCGTTCGTATAGAGGTTTTGCACAGCAGCCATGTTGGATGGCAGGAACAGTGAAAATATTTTGCATAAAGGCGGCGAAATACGAGATACAAAAACCCTCAACTTGGCGCGCAACATTGTTTCGTTGCAAGTTTTGGCTGATGTTTCTCGTTTTCACCTTGCGTGATCAACTTGTCTCGCAACAAAAACATTTGTTGCAGGTTGAAAGAATTTGTTGCTCAAAGTTGACCCGTGCTCTACTTTTCGCAACAAATTTCTTCAACCTGCAACAAATGTTTTTGTTGCGAAGACAAGTTGATCACGTAAGGTGAAAAACGAGAAACATCGACCAAATATTGCAACGAAACAATGTTGCGCGTCAAGTTAGGGGTTTTTGCATCTCGTATTTCGCCGCCTTAAGAAATAAATTTTTTTCCCATGGATAAAATAATCTATTGTTCCTGCCATCCACCATGGCTGCTGTGCAAAACCTCTATACTTCTTACATGTAGTTCAAAAGAATACAAAAGCAATGGAATAAATTACCGGAAAGAAATGCATAACTATTAGTGTCTTTTCAAGAATATTGATTTAATGAGTTTTTGTAAACTCATTTACCAAGTTTAGTACAAAGCCTTGTTATTTCCCAAGGTTTGCGCAATCGGGTATCTTCAACGGTTACACGTTAAAAATTCATGCAAACGTCTTTACCAAACGAAAACTTTTGAATTTCAACTTGATTATGAAGTGAACGCTTTTACACGCATCTGTTTTCCATTTTAAAAGTCTCTACTTTTTGCATTCATGCAAATGTCTTGAATCGGCAGCCTGGTTCTGGAAGCGTTGGACCATGACACCACCCGGCACTCGAGTGCACTGGGCTATGCACTCCTTGTTTCTTAGACTGAGGAAATGCAATTTTTGGTGATTTCATATTCTCTCTCTAAAGTCATTCTCTAAAACTCTCATTTAGGGATAGAAGAAATCCGTGCAAATAATTGAGTTCATTCATATGTAAATACAACCTCCGCTAAAACTTCTTCCC